CTTACAGAGATCCGATTTCAAAGTGGCATGCCTAAAAATGATTGTGGATTAATTCTCCAACTATTTCTGTTCAAATCCTGGTTTTGTATTTTTTCTGTCGATTTTTTGTCATTTAAAACTGGTATTTTCATTTATGTTCAAAATTCCCATTAAAATAGAGGGTATCTACTAGTCGCTTAATTCCTCCAACAGTTGAATGGCTTCTTCCCTCTGGCATTTTCTCCTTTTGCGGAATCGCGCGCTTACTGCGAACCCCAGCTAATGCCACTCCCAATATATTTCAATATTGCTTGTATCAAATTTAATGCGTGATGTTAATTTCTCTACATTTTTGGTAATTTTATTCTCGATTTTCGTTGTTGTTCCCTTGTTCTTTTGACACCGCCTATTTATGCATAATTAAAATTAATGAACGTGTTAAGGGGCCTTTTCGGGAGCGGGAAGGGGTGGTGAAGAGGGGGAAGGCCAACAATGGGAAATGGTGACCATTGTTTAACCCGCAGGTAATCGAAGAAGTTGGCGCGCGTTTTAAATTACCTCGGACAAAAAAGCAGAACAAAGCTACAAAAAGTGAGGCGAAAATTGTGACGCAAATTAAAACGTCCAAGACTGAAAAAGAGGAAGCACACTTAAGCACAACCCAACCCAATGTTTAAATTATGTTTTTAACCTCAAACTCTTTTCCGTCTTTCTTTTTAACCCCCAAGAAATTTAAAATGTTATAAAACTCTTTTGTAAAAATTATGAAACATATTTATGGCTGCCTTATTTGGTAATCTTAAGTTAGCCAATGGAGTTTTTGCAGGCACAATATTGTATTATTGCTTGACATTTTTCTCATTAACATTTTTAATATTTTCAATTAAAAGCCCCTCAGCAATCCCAATTTTCCCCACTCCAAAACCCCAAATCCAATTTTCTAACGATCACTGTGCTCAGAAAACCGAGGAAAACCCGAGAGGAAAATTGAAAAGGCAGCCAAATGTGGGCCAATTTGGATGCCACCCGGCTAGTGGCAAAATGAAAATGGAAAACGAATAGGAAAAGCGGCGACTTTTGTGGACGCCTGCCAACCCAGCAGCAAAAACAAAAACAACGCCAGAAAATGATCAAAAATTACCATGAGTAAAACAGAGGGAAGCCCAAGGTGTGCTGCTGCCTTTTTCTTTTTCTTTTTATATTTTTTTCGGTTTTTTCTGCCTGGGCGTTTTTGTCGTGCGAAAAAAAGAGATAATAATTTTTTATACGTTTGCCCCACATGCGAGAGTCTTGCATTTCCTGTTTGCTGCCAAATTAGTTGATATTTTCCCGTTGATGAATTTCATATTAATTTGCGCAATTTGCCAGAGTTTGTGTGGGCAGAAATGCTTAAGAGACTCATTAGTTCAAGGAAAAGTTGGAGGGGAGGCTGGTAAAGCGGTGGAAATGCGGGGAAATCTAATCGTTGACCATTAGGGCGCCCACATGTAATTCAACACTGTTCAAAGCGGTTCGAAAAACGGCCTCAAAAGGTTGAAAATTAAAAAATACACGAGAAAAAAAAAACAGTTGGGAGTTCTAACGTAAAATTTTTACCACACAAATTAACCTTAGTATATATATTTATATTTTTATTTAGGCATATCTATTGATATATATGATATTTTATGCCATTGTATTAAGAGGGCTACCAAGGAGAGGACTAGGTTGTTTGGTAACCTCACAGGCCGGCATTTTAGCCTGCCTGCAGGGCGATATGGAAATAGAGATGGAAAAGCACCGAAACAAAAATATCTTATTGACGGGGCAGGAATTTCCCAAGGGGCGTGGGACAGCTGACGAATGTTTATGATAAATGGCTCAACAAGCTTGTTAGGTGGAAAACTAGAAGACCAAAACACCAGAAGACCTGAAGAGATGCGGAGAATTCCCCAACCCGAGCCCCCGAAATGCAGACAGGAGATTTGCGCAAAAGCCAAGAAACGAAACGCAAATTGAAATTCCAAGATCAGAATCAAGAGAAACCAGAAAAGAGACAACAAATTATGGCAACGCACCACCAGGAAAACAAAAGCAAAGAGTGAGACGGCGAAAAAAATTGAATGCAATGAAAATCAAATAAATTGCAATGAAAAAGCCAAGCCCCAGCAACAACAACAATGACAAAGATAGCGATCACTAAACATGGTGGGCCATAAAAAACAACGAGGGCAGCCCAAGACAAGTATTTGAAAAATTTATAATAGGCATGCCAATGAGGGAGATCGCGGGACCTTCGGGGAGGCAATCGAAAATGGATAAGACTTGCCATGAGCCAAAAAAAAAGCAGGAAAGGAAAATGAGGAATGCTGATCACAAAAAACGAAAGAGAGAGAGAGAGAGAGAGGGAGATCGCAAATTGAACGATATTCAAAACTGGACTCGAGCCACCCATCCGAACTCCTCGACAGCCCCAGTTCCCCCATCCCAAAACACAGACTTCCCCCTCAAATCAGGCAACGCATAAATTTTAAAGCATGCTCTGCAAGCATGCTTTGAAGCATGATACCCTGTTTAATAAAGGATGCTGATAGAAATATCTGAGTCAGACTAAAACAATTAAAACATATTTCTATTTATGTAGAACGAATTTATTCAGACCGAAGATCTGAATATTTATTTATTTTATATATAAATTTACCAGGTAAAAAAAGGACAGTAATTTTGTAAAATTGAAAGTAATTGTAATTGTAATGTATTTGTTTCTGTGAATCTGTGTTGCATACTATTATTTTTATATTTAGTCATTTGTTCAGGGTATTTGACGCTTCGCCACCCAAATGCACTCCTCTTCCTTTCTGTCTGTTGTTTCTTATTTTTATACGAGTCTCTTTTTCTGCATTTTGCATTTGGCAGAATGGCGCGTATTGCTGTGAAATGTGAATGTGGACGTAAATTTAAATGGGAATGTGGATGTCGATGGCTTTCACCCGTGGAATGCGAGCAGCGGGAAAATTGGCTCAAATGTCGTTAGCTGCAGGGCGGCTAATAATAATAACAAGAAATGTGAAAAAGGGAAAAGGCAGCCGGAGAAACTGCACATTAATTATTGCAAAAGTAAGAGGCGACAGCAGTTGCACATCTGCGAGATACTCGAAATGCCGGTGTCAAGTAAAAAAGCTTCGCTGTCACTTATTTTGTTGCAGTGGCACCTATTTCTAATTCGCTGACCGACAAACAGATCCGAAAGTGAGTCATCAGCTGCCGCGACATCGGCAACATGCGACTGCCCCGCAACAACATGTTGCTGTCGTGCTAAAATGCTGCCAATTCTGCAAAAAGCCATTGAGAAATATGATATTCTGCCGCTGTACAATGAAAATTCTACAGCAACACAGGCCACAGAATCCAAAAACTATATAAATGAAGATCTCTGATTCCACAGATCTGATCCAAATTTATTTCTCTGAAAATATGAATAAAAAGTTAGGCTTTCAATGCTGTCAAATTAATTATTACTATGTTAGCTATTCAAAGTTTTTCGTTGATTTTGAGAAAGGTGATGCAAAACTGCAATTGAAATTAGATTTTAAAAAAGTATAACTAAAAGCTGGGGTCCAGACCTTTAAGAAAATAAGAATGATATTATTTTAATGTGGATTTCGATTTCGTTCTGTGTATCTGCTAGCTACGTTTCAAGTCCAAAGGTCGAATTCTTTGAGATGTGTCGATGTCTAAAAGTGCCGGTCCAAATATTTAAATTTACCAGCTTTTATTAAGTCATCATTTTGAATATTAAGCGATAAAGTTATTAATTTAAACGCAATTATTTCGTAGAATTGACTTAAGTCGAGGCACATAAAATTTCAAATTTATTTATCACGACAAAACTGGATTCTATTTGCTGCCATTATCGCCTCATGTTGACTGACAAGCGCCAAATTATGAAATTATTTATGAAGAAATCGGGAGATCACCACCTGAAGACCAGCCGTAAGATTCCCCCATATCTCTGCAAATGGCATTCCAAGATTATTTCTTTGTTTTGCGTCTGTTTTCGTCGTTAATTTCTCACTTGGCTTTTAGAAAATTGGAAAATATTTATGAAAAATGACAACTGTCACTTACCAATACACACAAAAGTAGTTTTTTTTGGTGGCGCTCGTTTTCGTTTTATTGTTGTTTTCACATTTTTGTGATGTTCTTTTTTTTGTTTTCTGGACCCTGTTCGACTTGGCGACTTTTCAAAAATTTTAGAAAAATTATGGCCCAACAACTGTGTGTGTGGGTGGGTGGGCGAAGTTCCAGAGAAAAGAGAGAGAATCGCATAAATTAATTAAAAGTATTGGATGGAAATCGAAAGAGCCCACCCCCTCTCGCGCCCCTCCCGTTATTATTTATGTGCTTTTTGGCATAATTTTTAGCCACTCGCTTGGAAATTTGTATTTTCGGGATATTTATGACATTTGTTCGCTTGGGAATTTCAGTGCTCACAGTCGCAGTCTTAGTTTTATGTCTTTTTAAATGGACAGGAAAACACTAAAGGGGAGTTTTCGGTTTAGCCCCAGGTACGAGGGGTATTCAGAATTAGTTTTATGGCGTGCGATTAAATTGGTGTAGCCCAGAAATTGTAAAAAATATTTGTAAATATCAAATATTAATAGTTACCAGTTTTTGAGTTCAGAAGTTTAATAAGCTTTATTTCTTTTAAAATATAGAGTTAATGAGTGAATTGGCAATTATGAAACAAGTTTCATTTACTTATTTAAAAGTTTGATTTCCTTGAAAATATGGTCCCCAAAGTTCCTGAGTAACCCCAATTTTTTTTGGTGTTATTCACACACACGTGTCAGCTCTTTTTTTACCCATCCACTCTCCCAGTCTTGTGGTTTATTTATAGGCTTCGCATTTATTTGCCTGTCGCCGAGTTTTTTTGTGCCACTTTAGGCCTCAATTATTTTAAAATTCATTAAAAGTGTCGTCTATTTTCAATATTTATGTATACCCTTAACGTTTTGATTCGTTTTCTGCCTTATTTACAGTTGACAGCAGCAGAATGCAGTTCTAAGGAAACATATCTGGCCGAAAAGAGACAGGAATAAAGCAGAAGAAAAAGACGGAAGGATCACAGAGTGACAACGAGTACAAAAGGTAACTAAACTGCTAATCTTAATCCTGACCACGCGGCGCCCACGCAACTTAAGAGAAGAATACAAAATATGATCGCATCCCCAGTTTTTCCGCCGATCCACAAACTTAAGCTAGTGGGCGTGCAGCTTCGATTCCGCACCCATATAACCATAACCCTGACTCCAGTTCCGAACTGAAAAGTGACTTTTGGCTCTGGCTCCTAGCCCATACAAATCGTTTTTTGGGCCCACGCACTCTCTGAAAAATATATTGAGCCCATGAGGAGGTTGTGAGGGGGGTTGTCTCTTCATCCCATTCCATACCATACCATACCATACCATTTCATTTCATTCCAAGCCTGAATTGCAACAGAAACAGGTGGGGCAAACCCATCCAGCTTCTTCATCATCAGGATCATTATGATCTCAAAGATCATCATGGTATGCTGGATAATCGTCATGATGATGATCATCCTGCTTATAGCTGCAGTAGAAAATCCTGTTGGCTGTCGGTGGAATGCAGATTTCGAACTCGTTTACATGCGAGTTTCTTCACCTTCTGCGCCACCGCCCTGGCGCTTAACCTGCCCTCCAAAAAGGCCATGCACTGAGAGAAAATTATTTTGAAAATGTTAAATTATTAATATGAATGCTGAGTAATGGAATTTTTTAAATTTTATTATTAAATAAGTTGTTCACTTTACGAATTCTTCGTTGCTTTAATCCTTTAAGCCCCACTTGTTCATCTCACAAGGGGACTTAAAGGCCCCTCGTTGGGCGCCAGAGCGCTCCTGACGTATGGGTTCTGGGTGGATATTGGTATGTGTGTGTGGCTTGGCATCTTGTTTTTGGGCTCCGGTTCCGGTCGCGCTCAAAAGAAGATTTCAGCTGCTGCTGCTTCTTCTCCGGCTGGCAAAACAGGTTCCATTGGTGAAGAATTTTCGCCGATATCTTCCACCTGTGTGTGTATGTGCGTACAGTGAAGACCCTCCTCAGTGGACAGTTTTCAAAAGGGAATGACCATGACAAAACGAGAAATTATGGGCAGGCTTTAAATTGTACTAATGTCATGACTAGTGATTTTCATAAGCTTTAATAATAATATGGCCTTCTTTTCCTCAGCGTAATATAGTTTAAAATTCACCCAAGATAATTCAACGTTAATTATTCGTTAAGCTTACTATCGCAATGATGACTTTTAAGGGTGACAATGCAAGAACCAGCGTTTCAAATAAGTAGACCACAATTTTCTCTCGCGGAATTTAATAACCCCAGATGGTTCTGCCTTAATCATCTGCCACTGTGATTGGAGGTTTTGTAGCTCGTTATTTTCTATTGCTCCTTTTCTGCCAGCAACTGTTGCTGAAGATCGCAATGATGATGATGAACTGGCTCTCAGGTTTTATTGAACCCATTGTAGCAGCAAGCGCAAAACAACGACAACTTGTAGCAGGTGTTAGTGTCTTACAAGCTGTTAACTGCCGCTGCTAATGGCCAAAAGCAGTAAGGGATCAGGGCGATCGAGAAAGGGGGATCGGGGAAGTGGGAATCGCCTCTTATGACAACAGAAATTCATATGGATAAGTTCAACCACCATTGTGGATGTAGCTTCGTTACGCCTCACACTTATTTAATGAACTTACACACGGTCCGGGCTGTAGTGGCCTGAGATCTCGAGACCTGAGACCTTTTTCAAGATTTGGAGGCCCTCCTCTCTTTCGCTATCCAATTCAATTGTCTCAAATACTGGGCGCCACGCCCATCCCATCGCTGAATGGCTTTTCTAACAGTTTTATGCTAATTTTTGACAGGCAAACAGACAGCCACCAAGATGGTACACAAGGAAAAAAATATATAACCCCCAGCGGGGTTATATTCATTCTCATATTCTAAAGCTAAACAAAGAAGCAAAAGATTTAATGAAGATAGCAGATTTTTAAAAGAGCAACTTAAGACTAATACGACTCTTCAAGCGATTAATTTCTTGTAACGCAAGATCTATATTTAAAACGCTTCTCATTAATTTAAGTACAGCAGAACTGCTTTTAAGTCATTAGTTAGGGGGAAAAACTCGGACTTCCAATAGTGATAAATCATAAATCATTTCAGCAAGGGAAAATATAATCCCTTTTTCTAAGTGTAATTCTGGTGATAGTTTTTTATAATGAAGATGACGTCGCTCAAAATATTTATTTGCCATTAATTAATGACTTTTAATTTGGCATCCCGCGTTGATTAATAACCCTTCTTAGTAGCGCCTGGCGGTGTCCGTGAATAGATCGCCAAATGAGTCAACAAAAGGAGACTGTCGTTGTCCGTGGCTAATCAAATTAACTTCTGGCCCGAAAACAAACAACCAATTAATTGTGCTGCCAACAGCTGCAACAACAGCAACTACGGCAGCAGCAGCAGCGCAACATGGCCAGCTGACAGCAGCAACAACCGTAAACAGCGATCCAAGATCATTGGCCATATTTGGTTGGATGGTGAATAATGCACGGCAGCAACATCTGCTTGCGACTGTTGCTTGTGGCAACCGGCAACCGGCAACTAGCAACTAGCAACATGTTGCTGCCGTTTCATAATCTCACACCTTATAACCATAAACAAACGCAGTGTTCTTTTTGTGACCACAAACAATCGCTTAATTGTACAAGCACATGTGCTTTGACTAACTATTTTTACAGAAGCAACAACAAGTGCCCAGCAGCAACATGTTGCCCATTAACAGCCAACTAATAGGTGTTTATTGCTAGTTGCAATTCCGTGGCGAACACAAATTGCATGTTGTCAATGAATGGCAATCAATGTAAGATTATAGTTAAAAATAGTTTACACACAGCAGCAACACGATGCCATACAAGCAACAATAGTTCACTTGTTAAGGCCTAGCAATTTAAATGAAATACCTAGAGCCATTTTCTCAACAATGGTTGGCAGTTTACAGTTCAGCTATTTTGTGTATAGATAAGGTGGTTAGCTAACAAGTCAATAGTTGATTAAATATTAAATATTATTATCGGCTTACACAAAGTTAAGTACTACTACGATTTCTATCCATAAATAAGTTTACATTAAAAATAAGTGAGATTAAAAGCAAACAAATGCAACAGCAACAACGTAAGCTTAATACTCTTCAAATTAGCAACAATTGCAAGTGGTAATTCGTGTCTTAAGCTGAAAAAAAGTATTAAATTGACGTTGCATTCTTATTAAAATCCCTCTTCTGTCTCAAAAAAAAAGCATTTAATTCTCGCAGCTTTGAATGGCAATCTTCTGGCTGAGGTTTCCTAAATTGTGCAGAGGAAAAAAGTTTGATGACATTATGAATATATAAAAATATATATTTATTTCGGCAAAACTTTTATATTTTATATAATTTGTTTTCTATTTGATTACATTAATACAAAAATCAACTTTTATAATTTAATAAAATAATTTTGATATGCAACATCTTCTTAATCATATTTTATACATTTTTCTTTCTGTGTGGCCAATGCAGAGCATCTGTCCCAGACTTCTTCGTTCTGCTGGTTTGTTGACTCTTTTTCCACTTTTTTTATGGATTCTTGCAGCACTTCCCATTCATTTCCTCTGCTTCAGTTTTTAGTCTTTGTGGGTTTTTTTTAGCCTGTGTTGCTGTTGGCCCAGGAATGCGCATTAATTTTCAACGCACGCAACCAGCAACTAGCAACATCGACGGCAGCAGCAACAGCAACAGCAACAAGTGGATGCGGATTGCTGAAGGGGCAAGCACAGAAACCTGCGTCAATTTCGCGCTTTACTTTTGTTGTCAGATGTTTTAAATCAGCGTCGAGCTGGTTTTCGACTCCGCGTTGCTGTTGCAGTTGCTCGTGTGTAGGCAGTCCGGTTTGCTCCTTGGGTTAACAAGTGGCCACCACCAGCAGCAACATCTGCACCAGCAACATCAGGAGCACAACAGCACCATCGGCAGCTGCACGCGCCTTTCGGACCAATAATGACTATCAAATGGGAGCCGCTTTGCGATTTATGTGCGTCAGGAGTTTCGCTGCAGGAACTTTTGCACGGAAAGAAAAATGTATCATATATGGTGATCAGTTTGATGATTTTTCATTTAATTCTACTCTTTGAGAATAGACTTTTAATATTCAAGTTATATGATTAAAATATCTAAAAACTAAATTAACTATCCAACTTATATGATTATAATCAGGTTTGTAGCAACACCAGAAAACTTAATGGGTCTCGAATCTGGTTCTTTTTACCTACAATAACTCGCTTGCACAAAATATATGTTTTTGATAAATTCACTTATTGAAAAGTTATAAACAATTAATGTTTATAAGGGTATAGGAAATATCAGGTTTTTTTATCTGTGTGGAGTCGAGGATTCGGGGGGCAGGAGGAGGAGTAGCCGAGGGGCAGGACCGGGGTGGATGCCTAACGACTGGGCGGCCGTTTTCCTGGAATTCCGCGCGCGCTTTTGTGTTGTGCCATCGTTTAAATTTCAAATCGAGAGCCCCCAAACTGTCGCAGGCCAGACGCTGGTCCAACTCGTTCTGGATCCCCATCCTCATACACCATCCTCCATCGTCCATCGTCCATCGCTTCCCCCTTTTTAAAAAACAGGGCAGGGCAGCTCATAATAATGACACGCCATTAACAATCTGAGCCTGGGACGTCGAGTCCTTGGGTCCGCGGAGCTGGAGCTCCAGTTTAAATGGCACATTGCCTGGCCCGACTGCTTCCGTTGCCACGCCCCCTTTTGTGCCAGTTGGAGCAGTAGCCGCAGCAAATGGGAAAGGGAGCAGGTTGAAAGGTACAGTAGGGCCCAAGACACTGTCGCATTCCACGCATGTCAAATGTTCGGAAATCTCTGAGGCACTGAAATGAGGAATGGGAAAATAGAGTCATCTCAATGACTCGCTGGACTTCCAGAGATCAGAGGTTTGGGGTGTGTAATTAAAAACACTAAAAATCTAAAGGCTTACAAAATTACAAATCAAAACAATATAAGCACAAAAATTGTATTATGTACAGAATCTGAGGGTCTTATAATAATGAACATGATTTAACATGGCATTCATCATTGTTTGTATTTAATATGGGAAAACCCTCCTTGTTTTCTATATATTGAACCCTAAAAAAATCAAGATAATCTAACTTTCCCATAACTTATCTTTCCCCTTTCAGACTGGGACCCTCTGACCAGAGATGGCTGGAATCAGCCTGATTCTGGTTCTGCTACTGACCACCAGTGTCGGCAATATCCACGCCAACGATGGTGGATCCTCTTCGAGCTCCGCACCAGCCACCTTGGGCATATTCTTCGAGAGAGCTCCCGAATCCGCGGTGGCTCCCAAGGGGGACGAGGTGGTCTTCGAGTGCGAACTGAACCTCAAGCCGGATCGCCTGGAGTGGCGATTCCGACGCAGTGGCTCCCCCGAACCGTATAGATATCTCAGGCCCTCGGCCGGATACAATGTGACCAGTGGGAGTGACCGTGCCTGGCGACTGCGGATCTATGTGAGTGCCCAAACGGCGGGAGACTACCAGTGCGTGGCTTGGTACGGACCGGGAGCATTGGCCTCCACGCCCGCCCGCCTGGCCTTGGTCTCGATAGCCTTGGACGCAGGTCAGGGCTCCATGGGGTCCAGGGGCTCCATTCGCTGGAGTGTGGCGCCCAAGAACTGCCTTCTCATCCGGTGTGGCAGCGTGATATCCAACCCCCCGGCCATCTGGAGCTTCTACAGGAATGGGAAGAAGCTGCCCCAATCCGAATTGCTTCCAGGAGCAGCCGGCGCCTTGGTTTTAGACACGGTAACTGCCAAGGACGCGGGTAACTACTCATGTGTGGCCACTAATTCCATAACAGGTGACGAGCTAAGGCTTCCCCAAACCATTGAGCTGAGGGTGGATTACACGGACAGAACACCCCCGTACTTCCTGCAACGTCCACCCACGGAGTACTCCGCTCGTCCGGGGGAAACCGTTGTGCTCGAGTGCCCTGGCGTGGGATCCCCCAGACCCGGCGTCATCTGGAGCAGTCCCAATGTGGCGGGGATTTATAATAACAGGAGCAAGATCCTGCCCTATGGCTTGCAGATCACTGATGTGAAGCCGGAGGATCAGGGATCCTACATCTGCATGTTGGACAATGGAATCGCACCGCCCATCGATCACACCGTCAAGTTGAGTGTCCTGCAACGTCCCACGATTCTGAAGGGACCTGATGCCACTCTGACCAACGAAAGTAGTTCCCTGCTGTTGGTTTGCTCCGCCACTGGGAATCCCCTGCCCGATATTTACTGGCTGATAAACGGGGAGGACGCCACCAAGGATCCGGAGGCCCAGGTGGATAACCGGAGTCTACGCCTGTATCACGTACAAAAGCGACACGCCGGAGTTGTTCAGTGCTTCGCGAAGAACATTCTGGGGGAGGTAAGTAGTTTGTGGCAGTGGGCATCCTGGGCAGATAATACCAACCAAGTAATCGGAATCCCTTACAGACCAGCGAGGGCAACATGCTGCGCGTGAATCCCCTGCAAATCTCTGGCGAGGATGAGGAACCCCTCGGTGGAGTGCCCATGTGGCCAGTTCATGAACCGAACGGCGGAATGGGATCCTCGTCGACTCCATCTGGTGGTTCCAAAAACAAGGGCGGTCGCAGGAAGTACAAAGGTGAGTGCAAACCATTGATAATACTTTTCAATTTAAAAAGATTCGAGAAATTGTAAACAAATATTGGTTAAATATGAACAATATGGGAGGCAGTTTTATAAATCCCCCTCGATCAGGCTTAACTTGGTTTTCATGATATTAAATGTTTGGATTCGAGTGAAAACGTTATTGGTAAATAATTAATTTTTATTTGTGAAAAGTATTAAGCAGATCAGATTTAAAGATATCTAAACAATTATTCCCAGAACACATGGTGTCCTAACATTTAATACACATTTAAAATCGCCCGGTTTCACCCAAAAAAAAGTCTCCTTTAAGTTTTCTTCGTGGATTAGCTGGCCACGCCCACTGTATTTTGCTGTGTTTTGTGTATAATTCGTGTGTCTGTATAATTGATTGATTGCGATTTACAAATAGTGATGGCTTAGTCGGTAATCCTGGCCAGCGGCGGACTTAAGTCGCACCGGTGTCCCCCGCCCCGCGACAACTAGAAAAAAAGAACCTAAAACAAAAAAAATGTGTGTGGAAAGTGGGTGTGTGGTAGTTGGGATGTGGGATTCGGGAATTGGGATTGAGGATTCAAGATAGGAGTATATGGTAGTTGTAGACCTAAGACTATAGAACTAAAAGCCCCCAGGGGTGTAGCGATCCAAGTAGGCATGCGCGTCCTGCTCATCCTCGTCGGCATCGCTGATGTCCTCCAGATCTCATGAGTTGGAGGACTTGCGCAGCTTTTCCTCCTCCTTCCGCAGGATGCTTATCTTCATCTTGAGCTCCTCGACTCGCAGTCGATGGACCTCCTTCATGTACTTCAGCTCGTCCTGCGCCTTGTTTAGCTCAATGCGCTTGGCCTCCGTGGACAGCTGCTGCTCCTTGCAGCGCAGTTCGGCCTCGCGGATCTTGAAGTAGTTCATTCGCTCCTCGAAGCTGTCCGCTGCGGCAGAGGGCGAACTGGTGGCTCCATTCCCTCCGCCCAAGCTGGTGTTGTTGATGCTCACGGAGGAGGCCGTTGACGTGTTGACCGCCGCCGAGTTCCCAGAAGCCGACGACGGAGTGGCCACGGGCACTGGCACTGCCGTCGGCACCGTCGTGGCCGCCGTCACCGTCGGTAGGGCACTGAACGTAAAGGTGGGAGTGGCAGCGCTCAGTTGCATCTTGACGGCCGCTGCCGCCGCCGCCGCCTGCTGTTGCTGCTGGACGGCCACGGCCGCCTGTTGCTGCTGCTGGTGATGCACTTGGACGGCGGCGGCCAACTGCTGGTGCTGGGCGGCCGCCAGTTGCTGCTGGGCGAGCTGTTGAGCCTGGGCTTGGGCTTGCGCCTGTGCCTGAGCTTGTGCCTGTGCCTGAGCCTGAGCCTGTGCTTGAGCTTGAGCCTGAGCCTGAGCTTGCGCCTGGGCTTGAGCCTGCTGCTGCTGCTGAGCCTGATACTGGGCCAAGGTGATCTGCTGCGGCTTGATCTCGCTGATGATCTGCTGGTTGTAGCCGCCGGCGGTGATGGTGGCCATCGGATGCTGCTGCGTCTGGGAGGGTATGGCGTGGATCTGGGTGGCTGCAAAGAAATAAGGGTTATTGCTCATTAAACGTGGGTTCCCAAACGTGGTCCTCTCATCCTACCAGTAGCCTCTGCTGGATGCTTGATCTGCAGTATGATCTCCTCGCGGGGTCGCGTCGACTTGAAGTGCAGTAGATCGTTCAGGGTCAGTTTCTCCGCACTGATCTGGTCCACGTTGATCTGGTGGGTGTTGATCATGGTGGCATTGGCCGCCGCTGCCACCGCCACCGCCGCCGCGTTCACCTGCTGCATCTTCTGCATCTCGGCGGCGGCGGATTGCACTTGTGCTTGGGCCTGGGCCTGAGCTTGGGCCTGGGCCTGGGCCTCCTGCTGCTGCTGCTGCTGCTGCTGCTCCATGGGATCCTCTTCGATCTCGCTCACATCATTCCCATCCATTTCGATCTCGTCGAAGGGATCCGCCTGGGGATTGTGCTCGGAGGCATCGGGACTGATCTGGTACTCCGGCTCCACCTTGACGCCGTCGTGCTGCTGGTGGAGCTGCTGGGACACCGTCGAGGCGACGGACACGGATATGGAGCTGATCTTGGCGCCGCCAGAGCTGAGATTGGAGGAGCTGCCGTCCCTGTATGGGTACTGCTTGCGGAGCCTGCGAAGGGAAATCATTAGTGAGTGGGTCAGAGATGGGTAATTTGGATAGTATGATCCCCTTTCCGGACTTCTCGCTTTAAAAAACATTATCAAAGGGATGATTCTGAATAAATATGGAGTTATATCAGGGGTTAAAACATGAAAATAAGACCCATTTCTAATTCAACAGAGATAGGCTTTACCTTTCCATCTGGAACTATTTTAAGTGATTCCTCTGATGGTATTCAAGACCAAAACAGTACTACTCCTGTATATTTACAAAATATCCTCCTCTGGGGAAGGTTCATACAATCCCTAGTAAAATACAAAGTTCAATAATTAAAACTGGGAACTGATTTTTGTTACGAATAAAGATCAGATGGGACCTAAACCCTCTCTATAAGGAATTTTCATACTACTCCTGAGCATTCCCTGCCAGTTGATGACTGCCCACCTGGAGTTCAGCCAGAACTTCTGTATCTGCTTGATGTTCCGCATGGCGCTCACATGCGGGTGCGAGTTGAAGTCCTTGACGATCTTGTCCCACGTTTCCCGGACGGAGTACTTGTTGCGCTGCTTCTTCCGGTGCTTGATGTCGATGACCTCTTCGTGCAAATGGAACAGGCCGTACAGCACCTCCTTCTCCTCGGCGGTGAAGCGCGGGGTGAGGGGCAGCTGGTTTTTGGCGGACGAACTGCCTCCGTTGGTGACCACCCCTGTGGCATTGCCCGCGGCACCTTGTCCGGCACTTCCTCCGTTCCCGCCTCCATCGGAGCCAGCCCCGCCCCCACCGCCGCCGCCTCCTGCCCCGCCCCCTTCGCCCTGCGCCGACATTTGAGTTTGTTTTGAGTTTTTCACTTGAGTTCTTGCTGCCTCTTCCTCGCTCTATACACTTATACACACGGCCACTACCACTCGCACACACAGACGCAGCAGCGCGCGCGCCCGTGTGTAAGTGTGCGTCAGTGTGAGTCTTTTTTGTCGCCGTCTCGCTCTCTCTCTTGCACTCGACATACGGCCAACAAATTTGATTATTGCACTTGATTCGCTATTAAATATGCATCTAGTAAGCCGATCTTAATCCGCTTAACGGTGCCACGGTGAGTCGCCGCCCAATAAATTCAAAATCGCCAGCACGCACACATTTTCACTCGACTACAACAATTTTTGGCTCAAAAAGCGTTGAGTGCTAGGGGTGGGAGAACATCGATGGTAGTATCGATATCATCGATGTTTTCAAAACAGCGATAGTATCGATGTTATTATCGATGTTTTTCATCTCTAGCAAGTATTGAACTTAGCAAAATGGTCACCCCAAAAAAATGGTCACTATCGATAATTGCTGATCTGGCAACGCAAGAAAAACAAATTATTAAGTGCAGTTATAAAGTGCATAACTTATAAACCAAAAAGAAGATTGAAACAAGTAGAATAAATATATGAGAAAAGATCATTACAAAATGTTACATTTCAGCCATGGTTCCCCCCTCGCGGCCCAATGTCACCCGGCTGTCGGACGAATCCGTAATGCTCCGCTGGAGTGTGCCCCAAAACTCGGGACTCCAGATCACCTTCTTCAAGGTTCAGTATCGTCGCTTGGGCGACGGGAAAAACCGGCGGGAGAACTGGCAGACGACCAGCGACAATATTCCGTACGGAAATACCTATGCATCCGGCTCGGGATCCGGATCCGGATCGGGATCGGGGAATAACCACTGGAGGCAGCGGAACCGGGACCGGGAGTACGAGATGGGCAATCCGCCCAAGAACTTTACTTCGTCCGTCACGGGACTGACTTCCGGGAAATACTATCGCTTCCGGATCGTGGCGGTTTATTCGAACAACGACAACAAGGAGGGCAACACCTCCCTCAAGTTCTTCCTGCAAAACGGAACCGCCGAGTCGAACTTGCCAGTTCCCGAACTTCGCGAGGTGGAGTCCTTCTCCGAGTCCGCCGTCGTGCTGCATTGGTCCTTGGACTCATCGGGTCAAAATGAGGACATAGACGGGTATTACGCCTACTACAGACCAGTGGACTCGGCAGCGGAATACCTAAAGGCCACTGTGGACGGCGGAAGGAGCAGGAGCTTCAAGATAGACCTCCTTCGTCCGGGAACCCACTACGAATTCAAACTGCAGTCCTTCAACTCCGATGCCGCCTCAGAGTTCAGTGCCATACGGCAGGCGAGGACCAAAAGTAAGTTGTTATATTTCGGCACAGCCTTTTTGAAGATATGGTTTTCACATGTACCTTTCCGTTTATAGAAACCACTGATCATAGCGTTTCATCCTCATCTTCATCGTCAAGTCAAGAGCCCGCCAATAAAACAGCAAGTCCGCAGCAGAACTCCATATATCCAGTGATCGCAGGGGCCGCCGGCGGTGGTCTGCTGCTCCTCATCGCATCCTTGGTGGCTTGCATTTGTCTCAAAAGGCGGGAAAACACCCAACCGGAGGGTAAGTTTGGCATTCCAATCAAACAAAGCAATTAATAGGCAAATTTACCTTTAAAAACATAACATATTTCTTTTAATAATAACCAAGTTTTATTATTGTCTGTTTTGTTTTAGTCCAATACATTTTTTGTAGTTTCTAACAAGTTTTATGAACAAAGCTGATGAATTCCTTAAGATTTTCTATTTTATTTTACCATTTTATCTGATGGTTTTTAATTAATGTATTAAAATCGAAAAATAGATATTCTTTCTAGAGCCCTAATCGATTTGCAAAAATAACCTATTTTCAAATTGTGTAATTTAGCACATATTTCATTTTGCAGTTGCTTTCAGTTTGATTAAGTTACAAAGATTGATCGCTGATTTAAGCCTTATCTTTTTCCACAGACGAGAACAAACCGCAATTGGAGCACATCCAAGCGGACTTTGTGACCTCCGCCGTTCTCGGAGTGGGTGGACACCACAAAAGTGGCGATGTGCGGCGCTTGAATGGGGTGATTCCCCGGATGAATATCACGCCCAATCCGCTGGCCCAGGAAACGGCATCCGATAAGGTAAACCATGCACTTTCGGGACTAAATCCGAGCCCACCTTTCACACAGCTTCATCCAAAACTTTTCGCTGGTTGGTTGGTCAAAATTCAAATTATTATCACCCCTCCGAATGTGGTATCTCTGTCTCGCTTGCCCTCTCTCTTTGTCTTGCTGTCTCTGTCTCTTTCGCTTGGTTATTCTGCCAAATCTCGCCGAGATTCGCCAGCCAATTGAGCGTCCAATGTTCCAGAATCGCAACGTGATGGAGCTGCGTTTCCTGCCGCCACTGGCGAACGGCAACGGAAACGGGAATGGCAACTGCATTGCTAGGGATCGGGATCTGACCACGGAGCAGCCGGATGCGGGGGAGCTGCTGGAGGCGGAGGACGGGGAGGATGGCCAGGGTCTGCCAACGGTTGCGTCGTCCTCCTGCGAAACCCTAGAGGCCTGCGACGAGCCAGTCAAGCTGAATATCCGCCAGAAACTCGACCAGGAGCCGCAGGATCCGCACAATCCTGTCCTGGAGGCGCCCAGCAAACCGCTGCCACCGCTGCCCAAGAAACCAGCTTCCACTACTGGCCAAGTAAGCCTGCAGTCGAGGTCGATGAAAGTAATAGCACAGAGAATAATACCCCCTATAACTGTAGAAAAAAGATATATTCGTTAATGTATTCAGAAGACCACTAAATAGTCACTTAAATTATCAACTCGTTCCTAGATTGTTCTACGACTTGAAAGTAAATCTTAATCTTATATGTTTTATTATAGAAATCTTTAAATTACTTTTACCACTTATAAATTTATAAAGAGTAACTGGTTTTATAAACCTTTTAAAGGTTTAAGGGTCTTAAAATCGAATAATTTATATTCACGATGAAATAGAAATGGATACATTATGCCCAATAATAGTCTGAATACAAGGGCCTTAGCTTAAATAGTTTCAATGTTTAAATTATCCCTTGTGCTATTACTTAACCTCATCTGCAACCAGGAAAAGCCAACCCCCAGCCGAGATTGTTTTGTCCACATTGTCATTCATTCACTCATGAAGAAACCACTGCTCCCAGTTCACCCGAATAATAAGTGTTTTGTAAATTCCACAGACCAACTCTGGCCTGCATCAGAATGGCCTGCATCACGCGCAGCCGTATCATCCTCCTGGCACACCCACGTTGATGCACAAGCGCCTGGACTACCACCAGCAGCAGCAGCAGCCGCCGCCGGTGCCGCCACATTCCGCCTACTACCAGCAGGCACCCACGCACCACCAGCCGTCGCCCATGATGGAGCGCACCGCGGTGCGGGGTCACCAGATGGATGGAGGCGACGCCGGCACGCCCACGCCCACGAGGATACCCTCGTTGAGGAGGCAGAGACGCACCTCGGGCAGCCAGGTGCACAATAGCCACAGCAATCTCAATCTGAATTTGAACCTGAGCCACCACCACAACAACAACAACCTGCCGCCGCACCACCAGCACCTGCACCACCATCCCGGCCACCCGGGTCATCCGAGCGGCCTGGTGGGCATACCCATCGTGCCGGGGAGTCCCCGGGTGCAGCGATCGCCGATGCCCAGCAGGGCGATGATCAAGAGGACTCGACTGGGCAGCCACACGGACAACATATCCTCCGGCAGCCTGAACAGTATTGAGGTCTGATGCCGGAGCAGCGGGATGGGGAGGAGCACTAGCCCTGAGTCGCAAGCGAAGCAGTTCCCCGACGACAGACAGCTTCAACTGGGCGTGAGGAGCCTGAACTAGAAGTGTATTATTATGGTTATTCATAGAACAGGCCGGCAGAGCAGCTAAAAACACTCGAAAATTATTTGTCAATCGTTTAGCCAAGACTCTCAAACTTCAATCGTTATACAGCAATTTAAATAACTAAAAGTAGAGCTTAAAATTGGATAGGTTACTAGGGCTTCAAGTTTGCCCATTTTTGTACTAAAAAACTGTTTTATTCTATATTGAAGTAGTTTTGCGCTAGAACCAAAAATTGTATTGAATTTGTAGAGAAATGCAAGCTTATGAAGTCTCTCGGTTGAGTTTTAAAAGTTCATGCAACTTCATTTTGAGCTTAGTCGTTCAACGCTAATGCTGCCTAGTTTTGTTTCGGCTTAAAAATAGTATTTAGAAAAAGAAGGGCTGATAAATATTGATATTATACTATTTTCTTGTTGCTGCCGGCCAGATAGTCAGTAGAATTATTATTTTTTATTTTTTTTTTTAACCGATTGATTTAATTGTGCATCCCCCTGGGGGCCAACTTGCATCTCGACTAAGCCCTGTAGCATAGTGTTATTTATTTATTACAGTGTAAGCGTCAACGACTCGAATTGATTAGTTCAATTAGGTTAAGCACTAACTAACTCGTAAGGCAAACCAACTATCTAGCATTAATGAAATACTTTTCGAAATGTGACTAATATCACCCGACATCGTATCGTATGCGCACAGCCCACACAAAACCCAAAAGCATCCTAACTATTATTAAGTTCATATACATCAGAGTTTGAAACTTTCATATGCGAATTTTGGATTAAAAAAGAAATACTACAAAATTATAACGCTTTTTTGAATTTATAATTATTTTTCGGGAATTTGGGCTCAAGTTTAGTTTCAAACTACCGCCATTGTCTGGCAATCTGGCAGCCTTGTCGGCTGTTCTTACAGTCATCGATAACTTTTGTGTGCTGTTAACGGCCTACAGTGTGCTGTTAGGCGCGCCACATGCGTCCCCACCTCTAAAAAGCAGCTGATTGGCACATAAGAAGTGAATTGGAATTTATTTATTTGATTTTATAACACAAAAAGCTATCTAAATAGCTTCCAAACAAGCTTCACTGACTTGGGGAACGGCTGTAAACATATTCAAGCCGAACGCAACACAAGCAACATGAATTTCCTGCGGCAAACTTTGGGCATTACGAAACAGTTGACTTCACAAGGTGAGTTCACCTAAAATAAGTTTAAAACTAAAGTAGTGCTTTGTTTTTAGGGCTTTAGTTAGGATTTAGTGCACATTAAGAAGGCCCTGCCCCCTTGAAACTCCATGACTTTGGGTTTTCTACCCTTCATTCGTCCGATGTGCAAAATCAAACAAACCGGGTACCGGGTGCACAAAAGTGTTTGTTTGTCCCTCGCATTCCACATATTTTCATAGACCTCCCAACTCTTTATGTAGAGCGCGTGGCGGCCTCACTTTTCCCTGCGAATATTTTCATAGCCGGTTTCACATGCGCATTCCACAACTCCCCCGCTTTTAATTGCAAAAATAATTGAAAACCTGTCACCCAAAAAAAAGCGAAAAGTGCAAGAACAATGCACAGTTCTAGCCGCAAAAAAGGTCACAGGTTGCAGGACAAAAGGTCCCGGATTTGTTTGTCCGGCAATCCTGCATATGGAAATTATTACCTGCCGCTTGTGTGTGGCATTTATAATTGAAAACGTTGGATCTTCCCCCTTTGTCGCTTTGTTTTTGGCCAAAAAGGCTTGACAGGATTCGGATCGCCGGCTTGCGCGTCATTTGGCTGCAATTATTGTCGCCAGTCACCAGCCGCCAGTCGCATATTCCATTCCGCACAATTCTGAGATTAGCCGTTTAACAATGGAACAGGGAACCAGCGGGCATTGTCAATCACTGACCAACTGTCCATGGAAATGACCCTTTTGTCCGCATTCCGGGATTGGGTACAGTTGTGCTTTGGATCGATCTGTGATTTTAATCAATCACCCTCGATCTTGCTCTCAAAATTCCTACTATTTTGGGTTTATGATCATCGTTTACCATTCTTTTCTCTTGCTAATTTACAAAATAACTTATATGTTATATACGCCCGATTTAAAATGAATAATATTTGTAAGACCATTAGATCACAAGAGTATTTTGCAGAAACTCAAACTGTTTTGTATTTAACTTATTTTCTTTCCGTGACCTGAGACTTGTAGGGAACAAATCAATTTTAGAAATATATTACGTTCAGATAATACGAATCTTTTTATTATCCTTTTAGGCAAAATCCTCAAACGACGAAAAATTAAAGTAATTGCGCAAAACTGTAGAGGATTACGGGGCTTTTGGACTTTCATGTATAAATACTTGTTTAAACCCAATCCTTTTCCTTCTTTTGCAGCCATCCAAAGCAGTTTTGAGACCGCCATGCGAGGAATGGCCTCTCTGCAGCAAATGCATCGCAGTGGGCCGCACGTCAAGACGCGGCCCCCGCGCCAGCCGCTCGATGGCAAGCCCTTCGCCAAGGGCGTCGTGCTGAAGACGCTGATCAAGAAGCCGAAGAAGCCCAACTCGGCCAACCGCAAGTGCGTCCTGGTGCGCCTCTCCACCGGCAAGGAGATGGTGGCCTACATCCCCGGCATCGGGCACAACCTGCAGGAGCACAACATCGTCCTGTGCCGCGTGGGCCGTCTGCAGGATGTGCCCGGCGTGAAGCTGAAGGCGGTGCGCGGAGTCTACGACTTGGCGCACGTCATCAAGAAGAGCCAGTAGTTATATATCGCTTCCTATATCACATTGTTCAAATGCATAACCCCACTACAACCGAACGGATGCCTCGCTGTTATTATTGTTTGTTTTTTGCGGAAAATTATGCAGCTCAGCCGGATTAAATGGTAAGTGTGTAAGTATTGACAAGTGAACAGGGACAGATCTGCAGCAATCCTCCGGTTAGCTGCATACTCGTAATCTTAAGTCAACAGGGCGTCGCGTCATCTTTACTTAAGAATAGAATACCTCGGGTCCTCAGGGGAAAAAGGTTTTAAATGGCATTTTACGCTTTAGCTGCAAATCCTTTTGCTCGAATCCTGTTTGCTTTTTAACGGAATTGCCAAATTTTCTGCCACATAATCGTTAGCTGAAATGGGCGTCTCCCAATCCGCCCACTCTTCACAGTTGAGCATTTCAATAGAAACTCAAAGTAGTAGTTGGTATTTCTTGGGCTCCCTGCCGAGTGACTGCTGAAAATTAGCTAAGAAAATTGAGTCTTTTGAAACACGATGGCAGGGGAAAATCTCGATTAAGAAACAGCCAAACGTGATTTAATTCTAATGCATAACCATTTAAAAAAGGGAAGAAGACACTACATTTTTATTTAACTTCTGGCCATACATTATTTAATATTTAATAAGTTATTATCATTTCATAACTAGAGAAGTTAAAATACCATTTGACAACTTCTAAAGAGAATAGCTTGGCTTAGTTAAGTAAGAATAAGATTAAGGATGGATTATTTGCCCTTTTTCGTAGTTTATAGTACATCAAACTATTCTATATTCTTTATATCATATTTATTTTTTAAGATTCTTTAAAAATTATCAAAATTAAATTGTCATATATGATTTTACAATTATACCATATTTGGAAAATAGTTTATTGCCATATTTTCAAAGTTTTTTCGGACCTCTGTGACATCTTTTTGCCCACATTGTCGGTCCAAATCAAAGTCGATTCGAGAGGGTCCTGCGCAGAATTCACTGTTCACCGTTAACCCATCCACACACAAACACACTCGCAGAAACAGTTAGGCAAATACACTGAAAGATCCTTTTTATGTAAGCCGACATCGCAGTTGTCGCCATGTAGATGTCCTCCTTCTCCGCTTCCTCAGATGGATGACATTTGGGTGACCACGGCAATCCTGTTTCCTCTGTCCGCCAGACACTGTGTCAACAGAGGGCCAGAAAGGCAGATAGCCAGGACCATGGGTGTACCGTTAGTCCCGTCCGAACATCCCGAGTCCTGCCGCCTGATTGAGCCATTATGACAGCAGGTCCTTTGTCTCCGAACCGTTCGTCTTCGCTTTTTCTGCTGAGTCAAGTTGTCCAACATCTTTGGGACTCGCCTTTGTTTGCCAGCGTGCATAATTTTTATCAATAAAACCGTCATTGTCCGGTGTCCAGAAAAAAAACACATACGAGTCCTGCTTCCGTTGAATCGCCGGAGAATATTAGCTGCTTTTCCTCAGCTCTTTTTGTCCTCCGCATTAACTGTAAAATTTGCCAAGTGAAAAATGACTCCTGAACATTAGTGGCCAATCATCGAGGTGTTCACACGTCTGTGGCTTTGCCAAAATGAGTTGGCAAAACATCTGGGAAAAAACGACATTTAAAAGTTTTTAGCTCAAACGAATAATGCAAATCGAATCGCATTTTTTTGAAGATAATTGAGTTGTATTGAAAATAGCTTTGTGTTTATTACTTATGAAACAGCGATTCGATTGGTTTGAGATGGATTTTTTCTTAACAATACTTTAATTAGATGCATTAGTATTTTTAATTTTTACATTGTATAACAAATTCGTTCTAATCCAAGGTTTAATTGTGATTTGTGTAACTTCTGTAACTGCACTTCTAGGCCCATAACTTTTTTTACAAACATCCTATTTTAAAGTGGCATACCTCAAAATGATTGTAGTTAAATTCTCTAGAAATCTGTGTTTTCACTTTAGTTTTTATTTTTGTCTCGATTTTTCGTAATTTTTACAATGTAACTTTCAAAATTTTCGAAAAATGGCTTTGCAGAAAAGTGACCTAAAACCTGCACTTCTACTCTCATAACTTTTCTTACAGACACCCGATTTCAAAGTGGCTTACTTCAAAATGATCGTGGTTTGATTCCCTAAAAATCTGTGTTTTTAGTTTAATTTTTTTTTTTTGGTCGAATATTTGTCATTTTTATGATGTTACCCCTTTCCAAATTTTCAAAAAATGGGTTTGCTGAAAAGGGTCCAAAAACTGCACTTTTAAGCCCATAACTTTTCTTACAGACACCCGATTTCAAAGTGGCATACTTCAAATTGATCGTGGTTTGATTCCCTAAAAATCTGTGTTTTTAGTTTAGTTTTTTTTTTTGGGTCGATTTTTCGTCATTTTCAATGATGTTACCCCTTTCCAAATTTTTGAAAAATGGGTATGCAGAAAAGTGACCTAAAACCCGCACTTCTGAGCCTATAATTTTTCTTACAGACATCCGATTTCAAAGTGGCATATCTTAAAATGATTGTTATTCAATTCCTTAAAAATCTGTGTTTTCACTTATTTTTTATTTTTGGGTCGATTTTCCGTCATTTTTAATGATGTTACCCCTTTCCAAATGTTTGAAAATGGGTTTGCAGAAAAGTTACCTAAAACCTGCACTTCTTAGCCCATAACTTTTCTTACAGGCATCCGATTTTAAAGTGGCATACTTTAAAATTATTGTGGCTCAATACTCTAAAAATCTGTGTTTCCACTTTTTTTTTTTTTTGGGTCGATTTTTCATTTCATCATTTTAAGCAATGTAACCCCTTTCCCAATTTTCGAAATATGGCTTCGCAAAACAGTGTCCAAAATTTGCACTTCTAAGCCCATAACATTTCTTACAGACATCTGAATTAGAAGTGGCATACTTTTAAATGATCGTGGTTTAACTCTCTTAAAGTCTGCGTTTGAATTTTAGTTTGAGGCATACTTCTCAGACAAAAAAAACTCTTGTGAAATAATGGGATGGCTTTCATTACGCTGTGTTTAATATTCACTTTATGCTCTCTACAATTTATATTTCTCCCCTATGGCTCATGACTATTGAATGATTATTTCTCCTATCTCCGGGTGTTTGTGGTCAGTTTAGAGGCCAGAGGCTTTGATTGTTCCTGCACCCCTTCTTTATCTTTCAGTTCATCAGGGAGATGGTATTGGAACTTGCAGACCCATGCCCAATCGATGCTGTCACTTCCCCCGTTTACTCTTACTCCTTCCTGCCGAAACTAAATGGGAAAAGTGGCAAGAAAGGGTGGCACAGTCGCTAGAGTTTGACTAGAATTGCCAAACATTTTATTTAATCATGGACACGTGCTCCTCGACTTTTCGGGGGTTGGGTGGCAAGGGTTGATGGTGACCACCCCTTGCAGATGACTCTCAAACGTTCAACCCTTGTGCAACCCTTGCGTGATGTCAATCTCGTAACGCCAGAGCAAAATGGCGCTGCTAAATTTCTGATTTCGAACCGAATTCGCAATAAAAATGGTTCCAGCTAAGCTCCATTCCTCGGGGACCCATGATCCTGAATAAATCCCGAACTGATCTATGGATCACACAAAAAGAAAGTGCCTAATTGGCATCTTGTTGTCCTCGTCTTTATTCCCTTTCTTTGGCAACAATCGAGATGTCAAGTGTGAGTCAAATAATGATGCATAACCCTGGGCCAGGCGATGCCTAGATGTTGCGACCAAGATTATCCTTCGGGAACATCATCATTTTCCTGTAATCGATTGCAGAAAAAAGGCGAGCGTCGAGTTTATCGCCTTAAAGAAGATCAAACTGACAAAAAATGGGAACTGACGAGCAGGAGAACGGCAACAAACGACGGGCGGGCCAAACCACACAAAGGACGATCGTCCTTCTCGCTCTCCTGCGACCTCGGAACGAGTGTCCTGCGGCCACGTGCAGAGCACACTCCAATCGCAGGCGAGCAGAGGGACACACTTTCGCCGCCAGGTGAGAAGGCCAAAATGTCAATCAGGATTCGCGATCCCCTACCTCCATATCCATATTTCAACCCCAAGGCGATCGCAAACCGTATCTGATTCGCCAGGATCGCAGCCCTCAACTCTTTTGATCTGTGTTGACATTTCGCCAGGGATCCTGGCGATCAGAATGTGTTTACTCACGGCCTAATCCCTTCCCTTTTGGGGCGTCACGATCGATTGGCAATCCTTTGCAGCCAGCGCATGATCAGCACGTGGCGGCTTGGATCGTGAGTTTTTAATATTTGATATTCAGAAGAGATTTATCGGAGTTATTCGGGGGAATTTTGTCGTGAAGAAAAAGAACAGTTCTGCAAAAAACCCTGCACACCATCACTTTTAAAGACCTTAACTTGGCTTAAAATCTAGTTGGTTTTGTAAATGTTGTAATTCCCCTTTATCGCTTTTATTAGTAGAGCAATCGAAGATAAAGATCGTCTATGAACAACATTCAAAATGTTAAAATGTGTCTAAAATCACGGACTGTGTTTTAAATACAGATCGATACAAATTTGAATACATTGTCTCGAGTTGTTCATATTTGGAGCTCTGAAAATTATAGTGGATTTTAGTCTGAGGAGAAAAGGTTGAAAAGTTGAATAGCTATAGGTCGTGAATTTTTTGTTCTTTAAAAATGTTTTTATTTAGTTTATTTTTTAAAGGCTGCACAATTAGTTTAAAAGGGCAATTGATAACCAGAATTAACTTAACATCTAAAATTGTTAATTTAACAAGTCTTACAATCTTGTATACCGTATTCGGCAGCTATTTAGACAAGGTTAATACCACGGATTTTTATTATACCCGTTACTCGTAGAGTAAAAGGGTATATTGTATTCGTGCAAAAGTATGTAACAGCTAGAAGGAAGCGTTTCCGACCCTATAAAGTATATATATTCTTGATCAGGGTCACTAGCCGAGTCGATATAGCCATGTCCGTCTGTCCGTCTGTCCGTCTGTCCGTCTGTCCGTCTGTCCGTCTGTCCGTCTGTCTGTCCGTCTGTCTGTCTGTCTGTCCGTATGAACGCTGAGATCTCGGAAACT